TTCCCTCATGCATTAAATGCTTATTCGTGGCCAGTGGGTTTGCTGCAATAAACAGAGGCATTACTTCATTAAATGAAGCATAGGACCCTGCTATCACGTGATGATTTGATCCTGATATCTCTGGCCGTGATTTTGCTCGGCCTCGGCCTCGGCTTACAATCGAGACCGAGATGATCATGCCTTGGCAACTTTTCTTTTGTTTTCAGGAAGGCAAAACACCTTGGCGAAACGCTGCGCTTTAGCTTCTCGAGGAAGTGCTTGGGCTGAGAAAAAGGGCTCCTTCGGCCAGTTCATGGCCGGGATTTATTAGGCACAAACACCAATATGTCAAATTAAATTATTATTTTATTACATTTTAGTGTTGATTTATTTTTAATTAAAAAGAAAAGAAAAGAAAAAATAATAAAATATTCATTTGACATCTTGCTTTTGAGATGTCAAAAATAACATCTCAACCTCCAACCTTCATTCCACATAAACTTTGACACATTGGTTGGAGTGATATGAGATGTTATTTCTAGCCGTTAGTTATTAACTTTAACCAACGGGGTTATAATTAATTAATTTGATTGCAATATCCCATGATCAAGTTATAGCCCATACCCTACTACTTACTGTTCATAGGGATCTGCCTGAGAAATCGGGCGTATTCAACCGGACTCATCGACAGTTGCTCATCAAGTCACACTGTCAGAAGGAACTAATAAACTGCTGGTGGATGGATAATTCTGATTTCTGATAAGTTTATTAAACATTTAAACTTTCCTTTTTCGTGCAAGTTTTAGCAATAATACTAATTTTTTTGCCGTGTACCTATCAAATTAATTATATTATCATTAGTTGGGGTCGGTGACTGGGTGGGCACTGACTGTCGATCAAATGTCATTATTCATTATCAAATAGTAAGGATAATAATCAATCGTATTTTCTGTTCCACATGCAATGAAATGAAAGGGTCTATATGATTAGATTTCCTATTTCTCTAGTACCTCATTTTGCGAGCTACTTTAATTTTATTGATTTTCTAATTTCATCTTGCAACACTTTTTAACATCAGATCGATCTGATCAATATATATTGTTTTTCTTTATTAAGCCAATAATATATCCAGCTGATCCTGGTTTGTGGTTCTGCGAAGCAAGAATGCAGTTTTCTGGGCCCTCCAGCAGGGCAAGCTAGAACCACTGATGTCCTATCTCCACTATCTTCATCTTATGGTGGATCAGAAAGAGGATTCTTTTTCCAGCCTTTTTTTGGGTAAAGATATATCCTTTTTCCGATGAGATATATACCCAACTTTTTGTTTTTGTTTTTATTTTTGCTTTCTGTTAGTGCAAGTACACGCACGTCCAGCCCCTAAGGATTGAAATTGAAATCGATGCTAACCCAGCACTTAATTAAGATGCAACATCACTCACTCAAATCGCAAACTTTGGATAAGTTTTGATTCCAGACAACTCGTACACAAGGTATTGGAGTGTTCCGCACAACACAACACTTTTTGTTTTTTTTTATATTTTAGTTGAGAGATCCCTATTGGAAATTGCAATAGAAAAAAGTCCATTTATACATTGTCATAAAGCATGAATTTGGTTATCAATGAAAACAGAAAATACGATTGATTATTATCCACAAATATTGCTAATACAAACAGGGCCGGCCCTGACTTTTCGGTGGCCCTAGGCAATAAACTGAATGAGGCCCCTTCCCTTAGTTTATATACAATTGCAAAAAAAACAACAAATAAAATGATTTTATGTAGAGTGCAGCCATATCTCCATATAAAACAAAAAAAATTCTGATTACATATTTAATATCATGAAGGAAATTAAAAATTTACAAACCAACATTCCAACAACCAATAATGGGAACATGTCAAGATACATTAAAACTAAGTGTTTGTTCAAAATACTAAACCCTTTCCCTTAAGATTAGCTTCTGGCTTCAAGCTTCATCACACGAGTTTAGCAAAATCAGCTTTGAAAAGAACATATGAAATGGTTGCAGCAAATTTGGATGGGTACAAAATCTTCCTGTAGCCTTCTTCCTCCCAAACAGGCAGCCAATAAGAGATCCATCCCATTACAATGTGCAAATATATGATGCTTTCCCTTTATCAAATAGCTGCTTGATTTCCTCTGCACCATTTACAATCAAAAAAGTAAAAACTGTAACATTAAAAGTACAATCAATCACTGAAAAATCCTTGATCTTCTAGCACTTTGAGAAACTCCACTCCGTACCTCCACCTGATTTATGTACATCTGCAATGATAAGATATATGCAAGATTTTGTTAGAAAAGTTTAGTAGATGTCATTGTGCAGTTTTATAGCGACTTATATAAGGAGACTTGGGAGATTATCTCCACCAGGCAGAGGATGTTTTGCCTTAGAAACAAATCCAAATTAAGTTAGCTAGCTGTATGCTGTAAGTTAGCGGCTTGATATCTAGAAAAGTCAAATTAGAGTGCCAGTATGAATCTATAATTATCCTTTGCGGAGTTTCGTAGAGACAAAAAACAAGTTAGACAAGAATAAAATCTGAACAATAATCTGATTACCACTCTGTATCTCTCTGTGTTTTGTTCCTATTGGAAATTGAATTGAAACAATAGTTTGCTGGGTAGGAACAAATATAAAGAAAAAATTATAAATCTGATTACCTTTTCAGTTTCTCATGCTCCTCCCCTCTTGGTCACCATCAATCTCAAAGACAATTTGTGAGCTTTTTGGGTGAGATTGAAACTTAGGGTTATAATATGAATCTGATATGAGAAAGATGATAGAAACTGAAAATAAAGGATATGGGTAATGGATTGAAGGGAGATGGGAATAACAGAGAAAAATATAATGGTGGATTATTAAGAGATCGATGGATTAAATAGAGCTCCATGGAGAAATAATTAGGAAAGGGGCTGTTGCTCTTGGCTGGCTGTGTGGCGTAGGAAACAAAGAGTTTCTGAATGGGAAGAGGAAGAGCCTTCCTCGTTCAATTACAAC